GGGTGCTTATTCGATACCTTAGAGTTTTGTCCGTTTCAGAAATTGTCCTTGCATTTTATTCCTTTCTTGGGGACGTACAGGCACTGTTGACGGTTTTCTCGAAAAGCGAGTTTGTCGACCTTGCCTGAGCCCCGCATTATTCCGACTACTGGGGGATTGAGAGAGATGGCAACCCCCTGATTTAATGTGGCCATTTATTATTCGCGTTCGTTTGTGTCATGTAGTTTGTAAACATTAGGATGTTGACAACAGCAAGGTCTGCTGAGAAACGAATGGGTCTTCTGGGGGTAACGATCACATTGCAGCGGATTCTGCCGAGTGTTTGGTGTTGAAGTCACAGGTGATTTGGTTGCGCGTTAAAGTGGTCGGCTCGTGGTACTTTGTTTTGTGTGCTACTTCCGTCCCGATCTGCTACCTCATAAAATCTGGCCATGCTTAGTCAGACTCATAAGTTAACTCTCTCGCTACGAAGAGTCCTCTGTCAGATGCATTCCCTTAAGAAAAAAAAGCAAAATATAAAAACAAAAAACTGCCAGAATGAAGGAAAGAAAATACGAAGGGAATGAGTTATCAACAGCCCCCCCCCCAGGGTGTCGCCCATTTCACGATAGTTGCCTTTAGCCTGGTGGTGTTGGGTATCTTTCTTTCAAGTGGTTCTCTTCTTTTGACAACTAGGCAACATTCTTACGTTGTGTGTTGTATTCTTCTTATTGACGTTGGTAGTCCGAGGGTGCTACTGGTCCTTACGTCTTTTCTTTCCCTCCCTTCTTTCTGTCTATTTGTCTTAACTTTTCCTGGACGCTCTGTTAGTTCATGCTGGTATCATGCTGGACTACAGAGTGGATGGTCCTGGCTCGAATCCCAGACAAGGCGTTCTTGAACTGGGGTTATTATGGGGAGCTTTCAAGACTCTTCCCCCATATAGCATGGTCCAATCGGAGACAGACGTTAGATTTGGAGGTCATGCCTCTTTAGTAACGGAATAGTGTTGATAGGGGCGTTACACCCGAACACGCTAACACTTACTAACTTTGCCTTAGCTTAAATGAAGATAATTGTGTTGATGTCCTCTTTGTCAAACAAAATTCGCTATCCATCTCGTTTGTCCGTCTTGTTTTTTGTTTGTTTGTTTATTTGTTATTATGTTTAGCATTAAAGGCTTGTGTTATGTCGAAATGTTTCTCATTCACATTTTACAAACCCTAAAATGGCGCTCACATTACTACATTGTGTCATTAGCCGACGTTAAACATACTTAAACAAACTTGTGAAAGATGCATGGAATTTCCTTCTGTCTTCAGGTGGAAGTGAGACCACCCCCTACCCAGAATCGTCATCGATAGACTTTATTGAGCGCATCATCGGCCCCACCCCGGCCACTTCTCCTCTGGTCAGCCTGGACCGACTGCTCATCTCTCTGACCAGCGACCAGACCTTGACAGGCCTGGACCAACCCTCGCTCGTCATCAAACCCGGGGTGCTCAAACAAGGGGGCTCCTACTTTGTTGAGGTCGCCACTACCGCACAAGGTGAGCTCTCATTATTTTCTTTTAGCCCAAGAAATTACACCTTTTATCTCTTTATTTATACCTACTTTTAGCTGGTTGCAGCATACATTCTTTTTGCTCCGTGTTTGGAGATATCTTCTTAAAATAAGGCAAAGATTACACTGAAGTGAACTATGATTATTATGATGACTGATATGACGTTTAAAAAAAGGACTCCTGAGAAATTAAATGAATTGATAATGTTCTCTTGTATATTAAATATCCTAATTTTGTCAAAATTCCTGCTGCTCCATCTATATTTTCTGCATTTATTTGACTGGATAAAAGTTTGTGTTTAGAATGAGTTCAAGAGAATTTTGTCCTCTCTTCTTTTCTGTTCTTTCTTTCTTCCCTTCTGATACAAATTTTATTTTCAATTTTCACTAGTGCACCCAAAGACCCCAGAAACGAAAAAGAATCCCCACTATGATAATTTAAAGTGACATGTTGCCGTCCTTGTTGGCCGGTTAAGTTGATTTTATTACAGCGAAGAACAAAGAATCGAGAATGCTGAAGAGCTGTCTTTTGTACATGTTGCAGTTGTCTTTCGGAAACATTATACTTTGTCCAGAACGCAGCATTAGTTCGAAACACTCCATCCAGCCCTAGGAGCTCCGAGCTCCAGCCCTATCATTTTCTTTCTTTTTTGGGGGGGACCCACAAGAGTCACAGGATATCAGCACAAAGCGCTGATGTCTCGACAAAAATGTAAAGTTGTGGTTTGCGTAACAAGCAGATGTCGTCTGCATGCCACGCGTGTCACGTGGTTGCTATGCAGCCGCGTCCTATGACGTGCTTACAAAATTTGCATATTGCCTTTTTTTGGATTGTATCTCTTTGTTGATAAGTTCAGTGAAGGACTCCTTAGGTCGCATATGCAACCAGCCGCAAGGCCTAAAGTCAGCACACCTACAGGGTCACTTGGTCCCGGTCTTCGCTTTTACTTATTGAAGGCAGATTTCAAGGCCTGACCAACCCCCTCCATCCTTCCATCCTTGAAGCCCCCCCCCACCCCACCCCCATTCCTAAATGACGACAAATATTTTACGCCCCCGTCTTAATGGTTTCGATCATTCCAGGGGGGCGGACCGTCTGGACCACGCCTGTTTAGGCCAGCCTTGACATTGGTGTATTTCTGAACAGAGAAACAAAGACATTCGATAAGATGTCTTCCCCGTTGGGGAGGAGGGAGGGGGGATCAGCTCGTCTTTCGAGTGCAAGATAAAGAGCTTTTATGTTTGAATGTTTGTGCATGTGTTTGTGTGTATATTATATAT